CTTTCGAAGGACCATATAATAGAGTCAATTATAAATTAATCCCTCTCATTTTGAAAATTTTATTTATTTAGTTTTAAAAAATAATTATTTAAAAAAATAAATTATTTAATCTTCATATTTTGAAATCTATTTATAATTTAGTCCTTTTTACTCTTTTTTAATTTATTTTAATTTTTTTTCAAGAAATAAAAAAATATATAAAAAGATTTATGAGAAAATAAAAGATTTTATATAATAAAAATAATATTAAATTAAATATATTTAACACTAATTAAAAGATTAAATAATAGTTTTTAAAACGAAGGTAACTAATTAATTTACTCGAAGAAAAAGAAAATAAATAAAAAAATAAGTAAAAATTGGTGAGAAAAAAGATATTTTATAAAATAAAAAATATTAAATTAGTTGTGATTAACACTAATTAAAAAAATTAAATAATTAATCTCTGAAACTAGATGAACTAATTAATTTATTTATCAAAATAATAAGGATTAATTTATAATTTACTCACTTAATGCTTCTTCTTTTTTTTTTTAATATCCGATTTAGTTGGATCCCTATCCGAGCCAGCATCGACGATTTTTTTTTTTTTTTTTTTTTTATCTAAATCATGGTCATCTTAACATAGCAACATACACATATACTGTCCATTATAAAATGGTTAATTCAGTGCTGTATTCTTATATAAAAAAAGAGCATACCAATCATCCATCGACACTTTGATTACTCCTTCAAGAAAGGTCTTGCCTTACTTAGATTTTCTCATCCCCGAACAGTACCTTTCCTGATGTTTCAGCCATGACCATTCGTATTTAATGAGTTCGGCAATATGACATTTTCGTCGTCTTGGTACGAAGCTAGTAAAGCCATGACAAAGAAAGCTTCAAATAGCAAAAAGGAGTGCCGATTGGAGGTTTAATTGCAACAAAGATCCAGATGGTTTTTATTTCTTTTATATTAGATTTTATTTTTTATTTTTTTTCATTTAAAAGCCGATTCTTTGATTAAAACTTGAAATTTTTAATTGAAAGTTTCTGATTCATATCTTAGAGAAAAAAACAATATATAATTTAAGGCTAGGAGAAAATCAACCATTGCATAGCCTCAACATGTTGAGGCTCTCGTTGAAAAAAAAAAATGTAATGTGGTCTTCAAATGATAACCTTTTTTTTTTAATGTTTATAGATAGTAGAATATTTTTGTATTAATAAAATTAAATTTATTATTTTTTGAACTAAATCATCATTAGAGCATACTTAGATTTTGATCAATTAAAAAACTCTCGTTTAAATCAAATAAACTCAAATTTAATATTACTAAAGAATAATTATAAATAATTATTTATGAATAATAAAAATTAAATCTTAACCTCAATCAAACTAAAACAATTTCTTTACTATTAGAATATATTCTTTAGTGGTCTTGAAATACAATTCAATCTTTCATATTTCAGATTTAGGGAAAAGTCAATCCTGCCCTTTGATTCCATTGATATTTCGTTAAGGTCAAAGTTTTAATATTGAGAATGACATGTGGCATACATTGATTAGCTGAGAAGTTTTTAAGTGACTAAAGTGGACAATTGGGCATTAACGATAAGAAGAAAAAAAGGTGGTGGGCATTAATGATAGAAAGAAAAAAGGTAGTATAATTGAATGGATGGGTCAACATTTTTACAAATAGGTCCCATTACCATTTTTAGAACCATAGAGTTTAATACGACAGAAACTTAGAGTTTCGTCATTTCCACGAATTAAAAAAGATGCTGCTAAATTCATTTATGAAATTGATATTTTTAAATTTTTTTCAAAAAATTACCAATATATCTCTTATCAATATTTATTATATAATAATTATTTATAATTGATGAAGAATATATTGATAATTATTTAAAAAATAATAAAAATAATAATTTTATTGATGAATATAATATTAATTATTAAAAAAAACATGACACAAACTAAAATTACTAACTCTACGCCATCCATCCAATGGGTTCAGTCAGAGCTGTCTTATGAAGGATTTCTTAAAAAAAAAGAAAACCATCTTTTGAAGGACCGCATAATAGAGTAAATTATAAATTAATCTCTCTTCTTAAGAAATAAATTAATTAGTCTCTCTTATTTCAAAATCTAATTATTTAATTTTCATATTTTGAAATCTATTTATAATCTAATCTTTTTTGCTCTATTTTATTTATTTTGATTTTTTTGTTTCAAGAAATAAAAAAAAAGTTTTATGAGAAAATAAGAGATTTTATGAAATAAAAATAATATCAAATTAAGCATATTTAACGCTGATTAAAAGGATTAATTAATAATTTTGAAAGCAAAAAGAACTAATTTATTTATTTTTTAAAAAATTAAAGGGATTAATTTATAACTTACTCCATAATATTGTTGTCAATATCATTCCACACCGAACTGATAAGAAAATACACAGCCATCTTCAATTGCCGGTCCACGCTGATTTGACTTCCTGAATTTTCATACGATATCTTTCTGTATGAACCATGAACCTAAAGCAAAAAAATTCCAAATGATAAGTATGATGCTCTTGACTAAATTTCCCCAAAAAATACTGTTAACTTGTCACTTTGGTAGCATGCTTTGTTGTTTAACTTCTTTGCATGTTTTTATTTTTTTATTTTTATAAATAATGAAATATTTTTTATTATTTTTTATATCAAACGAGATTAAAAACTTCATTTTTTAGATTAAGTTAGACTAAATCATAATTTAACATTTAGCCGATTCTAAAAGCTAAACTCTTTTTGAAGAAATAAAAATGTTGAATGAAAGTATGATTTGCTTTTGAATTAATCAACTATTCCCAGCACACTTCGTTTGGTTTTCGAGACAAGAAATTGTGCCGGGTTTTAAGGTAGCCTTTGTGTAATCTTTACGCTATTACGTTTGGAATTATACAATTAAGCGATTAATCAAAGTTAACACTTGCATTGGATGGCACTTGTTTGATACAATATGATTATCATTATTTTTTTCTTTTATGATTAGAGTTCAAAGTGTCCAGAATTATTATTGCTATTGTTATTATTACTATCATCAGTCGAGGAAAAAAATCTAACTTAAAATATCTTGAGAGAAGAAGGATATTGATAGTAATTGAGTCGTAAATTCATGGATAAATTTAGAGATTTAGAGTTATTATAAGATAGAGATTAATTATTATTATCATGCATACCTCATTCGAAAACTAAAAATTAACTATAATTTGATTTGAAATTAAAATAAAAATTTACTCAAGAAAATTGGTTTGAGCGGAATGGATTTTATTTGTTTAAATAAATGGTTTTGATTTTAAATTTTTGCATACATAAAAAACTCTTTAACTTATTGTGTCTGTTTTATACGCTTAACAGAATGAATAATTAATCTGAATCTTTGAACTTTGGATACTTAAAATGAAAGAAAAATAAGAATCTTATATGTAAATTTATTCTCTTTACATACCCAATCTCAAACAACATGCTCTGTTTTTTTCCAAAAAACCAAACACGTCTCATTAGCTTCAAACCTGTTTATTCTTTCCAGTTTACAAGAAAAGGTCTGTTTAATCTTTAAAACAATAAATAAATACTTTAAAAAACCCTTGAAAGATAATGGATTTTTTTTAATCAAAAAGGGAAAAGAGTCACTTGGCGGAACACGCGCACGTCACGTTAGTTTGCAAGGATAGTCAACACCAAGCCACACACGATGCTGTCTCACGTGACGAAGAAAATAAGTACAGTAGTACTGTTTTGAACCATTTTTTCCTGCAAAGTAAGCGTTTCCTATTTATTTCCGAATCTAAGGATCTCAAACTACCATTTTTATTTTCACTTTCCTTATCCTCGTACAAAGAAAAAAAAGGCCATAAGCTATGTCCGAACCAGAAAATTTCTTTTTTAGAATGATCATGTCTTTTCAAAGAACAAAAAATAGTCTTGTAAGAAACAAATCCTGCCAATAAAAAAATATTTTGATGCATATGCAGAAAATTTGTTCCAACTAAAAAAAAAATTCAAATTACTTACGCCAATTTTTAGATAAATTATATGTATAAATAACACAATAAATAATATCATATTATTGATAATGTCTTTTTAAGAATTTTGGTCGAGATCTACCACTACTTACATATAAATAAAACTGATGGATCCATGATTAATATTTTTTTATTATTATTACATGTGTCAATCAGTTTAAAAATGTTGAACGCTTGCAAATGATGTAGTATTTTTTTTTTTTTTGATATAAAGTGTATTTAAAATTGTTATTTGGGTTATGAACCAAAAATTAAAGTTCTATTTAATTTTAATCTATTTCGAGAGGTTATAACTTTTAATTTATTGTTTCTTAATTAAAACTTGTTTGTGTCTCATGAATAAAAACACCATTAAAAAATCAATCCCATTACTATAGTAATTTCAAATTGATTTTAGTTTTGTAACAGAAATTACCTCATTTAAGTTTTTTTATTAACTCTTTTTTTTTTTTTGTCTGCATTCAAGATGTTTTTTTGGATATAATATAGTCACTAAAACAATCCTCTCATTAATTAATCTCAAGAAACTCCATTTTTTCTTTTCAGAATTAGTTGACTACTTTCACAAATTTAGGGTACACAGACATAATTACAAATCATAATAATAATAAAAAAAAATTAATAACAACTCAACAAACAAGTGATTAATCCTATTATTAACATTGTATATAATAATAATAAAAAAATGTAAAAAGAAAAAGCGCAAGCCCAAGCCCAATACCATATTCTGACAAGGAGAATTGTACATGAAAACAACAAGGTGTTAGAAAAGTCCACTAAAATATTGCCACCTCTCCTCTGCATCAACAACTACAAACCCTCTTCTTCTCTTTTCACATCTCCACCATCATCTCTGCTCTTTATTTCCTCCTTTGGCACAACCCTTTTCACAAATTTCTCCACCTCCACCGCCACCACCGTCCCACGGCAGTTTCACCAAATCAGCCAAAATGGGCAAGGGTGGATCTCTAAGTGACAGTGTTCTGAAAAAGATCTTGCTTTCCTACACCTATGTAGCCATCTGGATCTTCCTCTCCTTCACTGTTATTGTCTACAACAAGTACATCCTTGACAAAAAGATGTACAATTGGCCATTCCCAATTTCTCTAACCATGATCCACATGTCTTTTTGTGCCACACTTGCTATCCTTCTGATTAAAGTTTTCAAATTTGTTGAACCTGTCTCCATGTCAAGAGATGTTTATCTCAAATCTGTTGTTCCCATTGGTGCTTTATATTCTCTAAGTCTCTGGCTTTCTAACTCTGCTTATATTTACTTATCTGTTTCTTTTATTCAGATGTTAAAAGCCCTGATGCCTGTTGCTGTTTATTCTATTGGGGTTTTGCTTAAAAAAGAGAACTTTAAGAGTAATACTATGGCCAATATGTTATCAATCTCTCTTGGTGTTGGGATTGCTGCTTATGGTGAGGCTAGATTTGATACTTGGGGGGTTATTCTTCAACTTGGTGCTGTTGCGTTTGAAGCTACAAGATTGGTAATGATTCAAATCTTGCTTACATCTAAAGGGATCACATTGAATCCAATCACTTCTCTTTATTATGTAGCTCCTTGTTGTTTGGTTTTCTTGACTATCCCTTGGATTTTTGTGGAATACCCTGTGTTGAAGGAGACTTCAAGTTTTCATTTTGATTTTGTCATCTTTGGGACCAATTCTCTCTGTGCTTTTGCTTTGAATCTCGCTGTGTTCTTGCTTGTGGGAAAGACTTCGGCTTTGACCATGAATGTGGCTGGTGTGGTCAAGGATTGGTTGTTGATCGCCTTTTCTTGGTCAGTTATTAAGGATACTGTGACCCCCATTAATTTGTTTGGCTACGGGCTTGCATTTTTGGGTGTCGCGTATTACAATCACGCCAAGTTGCAGGCTATGAAGGCGAAGGAAGCACAGAAGAAGGCTCAGCAGGCTGATGAGGAGGCTGGAAGGTTGTTGGAGGAAAGGGAAGGAGAGGGAAATGGGAAGAGGACTGAATCGGGAGACTAACTTGTTTATCATAAAGAGTTTATTTAGTTATAAAGATTGGATGAAGAGAGTTTACGGTAATAAGAGCGGAAAGGAGATATGGACTACAAAGGGTTGGTGTTGAGGCAAAGGGAGTTTTGTGCTTCTTTTTGCTTTTGCTCATTCGGTATGTTGGTTTTAGGTTTATGTTTGTCATATGCTGGTTATGGATCTTAGTTAGTTAAATGTTAGGGATTTGAGATTTGTTTCGTTGGCCTTCCCGATTGATGTCTCTAATCGGAAGAAGAATCTCAAATGCCTGTATTTTGTTTTTTTCCCTTACTTTTGATCATTTATATTACTGGTGTCCATGTAGGAACATCTTTTATTGATGAAGTTTTAGTGCTTATTTATTCTTAATACTTTCTTGTGTTTATTTTTCCCTTCACAATGCTATTGTGGAGATGCTATGTTTGTGCTTTGATCTGTTCAAATTTGCCAGTTCAAGTTGCTCCTCTTTGAGGGATATAAACAAGTGTTCTGAAACAGGAAAGGGCAAATCTTTCTAAATCTTGATTTGGGAAGGAAAGGAGTTGGGAACTAATTGTTAGAGACAAATCTCTGTTTTTACTTATGACGAGTCAATTTCCTACTTTGTAGAGAACTGAGCAATGTTGCCTTGTTTGCTGCCAACAATGGCAATGCCTTTGGGATGCAATTAGATTTGGTACAGGCTGGCCACCTTGGCTCTACCTGCTAGCTTTTCTTGCACACAGGTTAGATTGGCCCACCGTGGGCATTTATGGTTCTACGTGACCACAAATCAAATCCACCCAATGCCGATTCCTGTAATCCTACACACGGTTAGATACTTAGATTGGCAACATTGGCTCTCTAGTTCTTGCCATATATTGTTGAATCTTGCATGCCCAGTAGCAGTTCTAACCATAGTAAATTACGCTCTTGCTCTGAGCATGTAGTAACATAAGAACTTAAGTCACATTTTCTTGCATGCCCAGTAGCTGTCTGTTAATGAGTTTTTCCCTTCTCCTGGAACGTGGGAGCAAGTCCTGATAAAATCCCAGGTCATTACAATGTGTGACGTGCTGTTCCCATGGATTGAGGATCTGATCTGCATCTTACCTTGATCTTAAGGTGCTCTGTTTGTGGAACGTGAAATAGATTCTGTATCTCCATGAATCATCTGCTACGCATCTTGAAAGTAATGGATTTGATAATGAGCAATTTGCACATAACGATCCACAACCCTGCACCCTCCGACTCTCAGGGCCTCAACTTCGAGTCCTCGAGGACTAAACTAATGCCATATTAGCTTGTTTAGTGCAAAGGCCATCGATGTTCTATAGTACACCATCGATGAATCGTCAAGGTCATTGATGTTCTAGGGCAATGCATGAATCTTCAAGCCAATGACATGAGTGCTCTTCAATGTGACAAGAACTCTGCAGAAATGTGAACTTTCCAAGCCATTCATATACCCTTTTTCAGGAAGAGCCAGAATGTCATGATGCTTGGTCATTTGACTCATGGAAAAGCACAGGATTGTTCAATCACTTTTCGCTGCCTTTTAGAAAAAAGCATGTACAACAACAGGCTACTCGTTTGATTGTCCTAGAAAGAAAGAAGTTCAAGGGAAGTTGCCGTAATGAAAGGCAGTAAATATGTGGAGGTGACAATATAGGTGAAAAAACAAATTCAATAGTCCACAGCAAGGAGACATGCCCAATTGCCCATTCTATTGCTTTGACTATGCTCATAGACAAGGCTTGTGTGTTTACTGGTTCTATTTATTGATATTTCCCTTGATTATTGACTATTTCATTCTCGTGTTACAACAACCAAGATATAGTCTTCCTTCAAGATTTGACTAAATCATACCTACTGTTTTGCCAACAGATCGTTAATTTGAAAGTACCATTTCTTTTGACGAAATTTCAGAATTTCTGCAAGTTTTTGACATCCCAACCCCTAGCCATTCTGTTAAGGTGGGTGGATTTTGAAGTTCCTTCTGTGAGAAAAGAGGACACCTTTTCGCTATTCCTGAAAACCAGAGATGCTTTCATGTTCTAAATTGGAGAATTTGTCCTGTTGCTGGTAAATATCTCACTCCAGAGATGGAGACAAAAGGATCAATCTAGTAGTCCAAACACATCAGCTTAGAGATAGAAATTTCCATGCTGGAACCAGGGACATGGCATTTGCTGTCAACTAGAAGCACATGGGAAATGGGATTCTCAAAGAAAAATGCCTAGGGATTTCAAGGTTTTTCATTTTTGTCATGGAATCATGAGCTATACACCATTTTGTTCAGTGAAATGTTTGCATCGGTGATCCTAGCATCTGATCTTTCTCAACTCGAACATGTGAAGATCGAATTGTGCAAGGTTAAGCCATAACCATTTTAGACCTAGTATGTAAAATAATGATGAAAGTGATGACCCCTTTGGATCAGAATGCCTCAGTTACTCTCCAGCTGATTCGCTACAATCTTAGTGCCAAAGGGCATTAACTTAGTGTCATAATCGGTTTCCAATCTGATCATAATTATAGAGTTGGTTAATTCTCCCAATATAGATTAGCACTTTGCAGATCCTAGTTAAGACAGTGAATTTCTGTCTTTGGTTCTCAGTCCTGTTCGTTCCAACGATTTTCTTTTCTAATCCTTGCTTTCTTTGAGAGACCCCACAAAGAAAATTGCTAATGATAAGTGGAGATCGTTGTTTTAAAGTATTTACTGCTACCCTAACTTTTGTATTGGAAGCCAATGAATCTCTGGGGCCTCATCACCAAGAACAACAAAACAAGAAACGACAGCTAACTATGTCTTTGAAGTTGGCTCTAAGAAAAGCATAACTTTATCAAAGAAATACGCGATCAAGGCCCATTTTAGTGCATCACGAAACAGACACAATAAAAAATCAATTCTAGTCTATTACATTATGAACAAAACATAGATGGCATCCACAATGAATGTAATTGTTTAACTACTATATTTTTCTTTTTCCTGCCTTCACTAACCCCCATTGTGGAAGTTACATTCAGAAGAATGCAGAACACTATAAAATGATGAGCTCATGCCAGCAGCACTTTCATCCTGATGCTGCAAACCATAAGTACCCCCCACCATATAGGCTACCACCTGATTGTGATGGTTCCTTGACTGTTATCATGGAATATCAAAATGTATAGTTTTTGGTTAAAACAATCTTATCAAGTGTCCCACAGAAACTGTTCAAATTTCTGGCTGGGCTTCGCACCAGGTATGTGATCCAGAAAATGACCATGAGATGGATTGATTGCATGATAAAATGCTTCGAAATTGTTATGAGATTCCAGCCAATTATCGATAATCATGAACCTCTGAACTCAGATTGTCACCAGAAATCTCTACATGAGCACAAACCATTCTTAAAGTGGTGAAACCTGTTCCGGTCTCTAACTACTATTTCTCGGTTATAAATCTTAGAGATGAACTTGGTAGCACAGTGGCAATCATCACAAACTCGCAAGTTCTTCACAATCCGAATAGGAGTTCCAGGTGGTGTATTCAGAAGGGCAAAAGCAATAGCCAGCTTTTCACTATGCCTATTTAAAGCATCTTCCTTATCTTCATCATCGATATCGAGCAACACCTCTGAAGTGGTTGGAATATATCCAGCCTTCTTGATCTCCCTCCCCATCTCATCCACCATCTCATATATTTCTTTAGACTGCTCATGTGATTTATCTCCAGCAACAAATTCATAAATTTCATTGTCTAACTCAATCATAGTGCTCCCAGGGATCTTCTTCATTCCCTTCATGTCCATCGCTGCTCTAATCCAGGTTTTCTTTTCCCAATCGGACATTTTTGCATAGATGTTGGACAATAGAACGTAGTTGGACTCATGCATGGGCTCATTTCTGATTAGCTGTCTGGTAATTTTCTCTCCAAGCTCGAGTTCACCGTGAGCACGGCAAGCATTAATCAGAGTACGCCAAACAACAGGGTTAGGATCAATAGGCATTTCCTGAACAAACTCCAATGCCTCTTTAATATGTCCTGCCCTGCATAACATATCTACCATGCATCCATAGTGTTCAATCTTAGGTACAATGCCAAAATTCTTTCTCATTGAATCAAAATATTTTCTCCCTTTATCAACTAACCCGGAATGACTACAAGCAGAGAGCAGTCCAATAAATGCAACATCATCCGGGGCCACCCCACTTCTTACCATTTCTTCAAACACCGCAACAGCCTCTCCACCACGGCCATGCATTGCCAAACCACCAATCACCGAAGTCCATGAAACGATGTTCCTCTCTTTCATACTCCTAAACAAATTAATAGCTCTATCAGCATCACCACACTTCGCAAACATATCAACCAACGCATTACTAAGCTCAACATTCTTCTGTAGCCTCTCTTTCTCAACATAAGACTCCACCCATTTCCCTAACTCGAGCGCACCTAAACCCGTACAAGCACTCAAAACCGAAACCATAGTAATCTCATCAGGACAAACACCCTTGATTTGCATTTCCCTGAACAAACTAATCGCGTCACTAGACCTCCCTGCTCGCACATACCCACCAATCATCGCGCTCCACGAAACAGAATCCGACCTACACATTTCATCGAACACCTTCCGTGCAAACTCCACCCCTCCTTCCCCTCCTCTACAACAACAATACATATGCACCAATGTATTCTGCACATTAACGTCACCACCAAACCCAAATTTCACCACCGACCCATGAACCGATTTTCCCAAATTCAAGTCCCCAACGCCTGCACAAGCTTTAAGAACAAAAGGGTAAGTGAATTTATTAGGCAAAATATTTCTTTCACGCATGAGATTATACACATCAATAGCTTTTGCCTTTAAATTATTAGTTTGGGCGTAAGCCCTGGTGATAGTATTGTATAAAAATGTATCGTACAAACGGGTATCGGATTCCGGTGAGAATAGAAAAGAAGTAGCATAGTTAATGGCTTCAAGATCAGAGGATGTGGAAGCGAATTTGGTGAGGACTAATGGGTTGTTTTGGAGACCTGATTTGAGAATGTGAGTGTGGATTTGCGTTAGTTTTGAGATTCTGTTGCAGGCTTGAAGTAGAGCTAGACAGCTCTGCTCCGCCGCTCTTGTGTTTCCAGCCGCCGTGGTGGGTGTTGGCGCTGGTTGTTGTATGGATTAGCAGCTTGGAGCTTGGTTTTGGCGGTTCAAGCAGGTTTAAACAGTCAGCGTAAATTATACTTTAGCCCTTGTATATTCAGAAATATTGTATTTGGACCTCCACGTATTAAAATTTTCTAATGCTAACTTTTGCTTTTATTTTTATTTTTTCTTATTTTCTTTTGCCTTTTAAAGTTTTCTCGTTAAAATTTTATATATATGTTATCATATTCCACAACCCACGAAAAATTAAAAATCCTTTAACTTATAAAGTACAAAAGTAGTGACAAAAAAGTATGCATGTTTCAATCGAAGAGGATTATTTCATATTTAATCAATATCTATCTAATATTTTTTATTTTTTTTGAAAAGATAAAATATTAAAAATATAAGTTAAGAATTACATATAAAGCATAACGAATAATTATAAGTGGTATAATTTAGTTTTTAAAAGAGGATAAAAAATAGTAGAATTACATATGACAGGTGATAATGCAAATATGTGAAAGAGAAATTTGCTTCGATTAGTAATATGAAGAGAAGAGAGAAGTTAGAAGAAAAGATATTTAACCCAAATTTTTCTTATAATATATTTATTATTTGGTGTTTATATCTACACTTGTTTTTTTCAAATAGTAAATTTAATCTATGAAAAATGAATACAAAGTAGATTTAGTAGCATCAAATAGAATCCCAAACAAATATAAAAAATGATGTTCAAAGAAATGAAAAAAAAAAAAAAACCAAAGCAAACCAAAAATTTATTGCTCCAACGTTACAAGAAAAAATAACCAGATCACTTAAATAAAAAATTTAGTGACAATTAGTATATTTAATAGATTCTTTTCATTTATTTACAAGAGTTGTTGATTACTAAATCAACCTTAGTCCATCAAGATCCATTAAATGAATCCTAAAAATAATAATAGAAAAACACTAGATCCTCCACATAAAAACTATTTAGAGACAAGGAAAAAAAGTTTATATAAGCTAGATATTATCCAAAAAAAAAAAAAAAAACATCAAATCTAAAACGCATGTGACCTAGATTTAGAATTATTGAGAGAAAAACATTGAAAGAGGAAAAAAAAACAAAAACAAAAGAAATATTATCATTACTAGTAGTAGCAAATAGAAAACCTAATAGATTTTGAATAGAGATAGAGAGAGAAACAATGTATTTCACTTAATTTGACGATTTATGTATCAATAAATTAATCGAATAAGCCATAAACAATATATTTTTAGAACAAATGCATGTGATACCAAGCAAAAAGTAAGGAAATTTACCGATTGTGGATCAACTATAGTATTAGGTGCTATTGAAATTTTTCAATCCAAAAAATTAGTTTAAAGAACGAGGCTTTCTTTCATACTTACAATCAACTATCTAATTGTTTTCACAATCGCTGTGGATAATCTAACAATCTCCACCTTCACATATAAGGTCCTAAATTCATTATTTTTTATCAACTTGTGTGATACTAGTATAACTTGAACCCTAATACTAGTGTTAGATGCTATTGGATTTTTGTTAGAGAACTTATCTTATATCAAATAAGTAAATAATAGACAAGTAATATGTAAAGTTAAAAATGAATCATCTATCATAAAACTTAAGTTTTTTTATATGAAACTCAATTTCAATTGTTCAACTTAATATGGTATCATAATCTTAAAAAGTTTCAACGTCTAGATTTATATCCCACGTAAAATACAAGCTAGTATAAAAATTGATAATGGAGTACTCACCATAAGATTTAGGTTTTTGGATAAAGCCAAAACTCAACTATTCAACTTAATATGGTATTAAAGTCTCGGAGAGATCCAACGACCCAATAAAGGTTTTAAAACTTAAACTCGCTTGATAAACCTCAAAAGATAGACTACATGTGACAAAAAGTATTAGAAAACCTATCTTACATTGAATAAATAAACAATATACGAGTGATATATAAAGTTGAAAATGAGTCATATATCACAAATCTTAAGTCTTTTAAATGAAATCAAATCTTAGCTATTTAACTCAATATGACATCAAATTCAATAAAGATTTTGAAACCCAAACAATTTGACAGACTCAAAAAAAGAATTGTAAGTGAATGATAATGTTAGAGAATCTATCCTATATGGAATAAATAAATAATAATTTGAGTGAAATATAAAGTTGAGAACAAGTCCTCCATCTATCATAAGATTTAAGCTTTTAAGATAAAATTTAATCTCAATTATCTAATTCAGTACGTATTAGAGCCTTAAAGAGACTCAATAGTACAAAAAAAAATAGAATTTAAACTAGATGACATATCCTAAAAGAAGGGTTGTGAGACATGAGAAGTGTAAGTGAACATGTTTCATATTAATTAAATACCAAAATATAAGCTAATATAAAAAATATTGAATAAACCACCCATCATAAAAAATTAATTTTTTTGGATGAAACTTAATTTCAACTATCTAATTTAATATGAATCAACCATAGTTTTTTAAATTGTTTAAAATTTTATGATAATACATAAATTTAATTATTTATCATTAACACCTTTTTTATTTCTCAATTTAAACCCTTTCTTAACAAAACTATGAAATATTTATGTGATACGTTTATAACATTCCTTTTTTTCAAAAATCAAGAATAATCAGCCATTTAAATTGAGTATGCATCGAGAATGTAAAACATATTACATACACATATATTTTGAAATTTTTATTATTTTTTCGTATGCTTCATTATGTGAACTTTTTATACTTGATTTTAGTTAGTAAATTATCCTAAAAATTCTTAATCAAGTTAATTCACAAAAACCTTAAGATTAAAAAAATCGAAAAAAAAAACCAAAAAGTAGTTTGTCGTTAGTTTTCATTTGTTATTTAACGAAAACACGCGACGTTATTTAAAACTTCTTGAAAATTTGAGGTTGACATTGATAAATAATAAACTATATATCTGACGTTGAACATTTCGTAACCTACAGGGATTAAAATGTAGTTAACTCAAAAGAAAACCACCTATTTTCATCCACGTGTCTAACACTTTCAAGAGCCACGTCACCTGGGACGAACCTCTGTTTCTTTCTCCACCTCTACTTCCCTTACTCTTTTCTCTCACAAAAATCAACTCCAACACGTTCCAGAAAACCAGAAAACAGAACCGCTCGAGAACAATGAGAAGAGGAATTTCTTCAATTTCTTCTCTCAAATCCATAGGGTTTGATAGACAAGGAATAATCTCCAACAAAATTTACTCCATTGACCTTCGCTTTCATTCTAATTCTCCTCCGAGCCTATTGGAGAAATACAAGAATTTGGTCGAGCGAGGGAAGCTACAGCATGATCTGCACCAGGAAAGAGTAGCTTTTGAATTAGAAAAATTGCTTTCAAGATTACAGCAATACGAGAAAGATATGGAAGGTTATTACGTAAAGTTAGCGGAATGGCAGGAGAAGAGAGAGAAGGAGAGAGTAAAGCTTTTGATGGGAGAAGCGAGAGAGAAGGAAGGCGGAGGAGCAATTTGGACGTCGGTGAACAAGCAGAGGGATCGAATTTTGGAAAATTTTGCTATGTTCAGGTAAGGATTTTGGTTGTTTCTTTTTTCAGTAAATTATGTTATTTTTAGAGGAATGGAATTTTGGAAATGTTTTTATTTATTATGGTTGGGTGAGGAGTAATTTTTTTCAGTGAATTCCGTTACTTTTGTTGACTTTGTAAAGGAATATGTTTTGAATTAGGAAAAAGGGAGTGGATATAGAACCTGGAGTGGGTAGATGGGTTTCGTACTTAAATAGGGAGAGGAAATTGGATTCACTTGTGGGTCGTCGGCCCATTGTCCCTCCTGCTCCGAAAGGATTGTATATTTATGGCAATGTTGGAAGTGGTATGTTGCCTCTAATGTCATTTATCTGGTTTTAACTCGCTTGAAGTTTGTTTGTTCAAATGAACGCAATAAGCTGATGGAAATGCTTTCATTGGTCATTGCTATAGGGAAGACAATGCTGATGGATATGTTTTATGGCGCTATTGAAGGAATGGTGAAACATCGAAGAAGGTTTCACTTTCATGAGGTGAATTTTTTTATTTTGCTTTCATGGTGTTGTGAAATTCTTTAAGGTCATTTGTGTATTGGGATAGAGAGTGAAAAAAGAGCTTGGAGAGTTTAAATGTGTTTGCTTTTCACCTTGTTGAGATATCAATACTAAGCCTAATCATCCTTAAAGTTTTTGGATGTATTGTATTTTAATGGGAGAATTATTGCTGGTATTTGTATGAGTTGTTCTCTGTGGAAAGAAAAGTTATATTTTACTGTTCTTTTTTTGCAGGCTATGCTAAATATAAATTCACATATGCATAAGATTTGGAAGAATCAAGTAGAGGAAAAATCATTGCAGTCAAACATATCTAGTTGGATTATGAACCTGCCCTTTGATATGAAAGTCAAGGAATGGTTAGCTGCAGAAGAAAGATATAAGCAAGAAATGCAGATGAAAAACATTCTTCCTGCTGTAGCAGATGAGTTTCTCATAGGCCAGCAAGCAGATGAACGAGGGGCTAGTGTTCTTTGCTTTGATGAAATACAGGTAATATGAGAAATGTATTAAAAGAATCATTTATATTTCGTTATCAGGCATAACAAGTGTTGATGCTTTCATCCTTTATTGGTACTTCTATCTTGCTAGCTTGTATTTTTGCTGCTAGAGGCTTTTGGTTGAATCAGTTCGTGGTATGCTATTGGTTGAGAATCTTGTTTCATCTTGTAGACTTTAGCAATAAATCCAATAGAGGAGTATTTAAAGTTGTTATTTCTCTTATGCTAGAACCTGTTATGAAAAAAAAGGCTGATTTTATTTTATGAATTAAATTTCTGCTTCTATATTACAGACTGTTGATGTATTTGCTATTGTGGCCTTATCTGGAATTCTAAGCAGATTGCTGACTACTGGAACTGTTCTTGTGGCCACCAGTAATCGAGCACCGAGGGACTTAAATCAGGTTTTCTCATTTCCTTTTATTCTGGATATTCATTCCTCTAACTTCTGCTGTCCTTGGTGAGAACTTCTGAAGCTTTATGTAGCTTAATAGTGATTATCTGACATATTTCTGGATTATAGCTGAAATCTTCTTTTTATTGTGAGATCTTCCTGTGTTTCTTTCCAAACTACACATGAAAATCAAATGTTGTTTGAAAGCATGGAAAATTTTGTTAACCATTGTCTAATTTCATCTGCATTTGTTGCTCTTTAGGATGGCATGCAGCGAGATATCTTTCTAAAACTGGTTTCAAAGCTGGAGGAGCACTGTGAGATAGTTCTGATTGGAAGTGAGATTGATTATCGCCGTTTCATAGCACAAAGATCTAATGACAAGGTAAGATGTAGCGGTTCTGATTCTGCTTCCATGGGTGATAATTTAGTCCTGAAGTCATCTGCCATCTAGATTTGCTTCATCAAATAGACATTCTCTAAGTTCTAAAATATAAACATTGGAAATTTTGATGACCTATCTTCAAACTAAGTAAGTTTCATTAATTACCACAAATATCGCTTTCCCCATCTACATATTTACTTGTTCAGCCACATTTCAGAAGATGAATCCTGTGGTTAGTTAGGAGAATCCTGGTTTCGTCCACACTCTCTGATTTATTATATATTATGGCTTTCTTTCTATTCCTAATCTGAGTTTAAACTCCCTCCTTTTTTGTACTTGAGCTATGGCTATTGATCTCTTTCTAGAATGCATTCCACTTCTCAATAAATGAATGGTCTTTCCTTAGCAACTTGATGACTCTTTTAAATGTCCTTTGTATTTACACTAGTTCAGGTTACTCAATCATTGGTGTTCTATGCTGGAAACTACTTTGAAAGGAAAAGTTCAGTACAAATTATCTCTGTGTTTTTCAGCACTTTTGTGTATCTAGTGGTTGAAATTATCATTGCATGATGCAGGCTCACTATTTCTGGCCTTTGAAGAGCAGTGCTCTGAAGGAGTTTGAGAAAATGTGGTGTCAGGTCACAAATCAGTTGGGAGGACAAATCACCTCTGAGACTATCCCAGTTATGTTTGGGAGGTACTTCTCAAAGATGCTGTATTCATCTATTCACTGCTCTTATCTAATTTAATGCTGTGCTTTTATTTTGAAACCAGAGTACTGGACGTTCCTGAAACCTGTAATGGAGTGGCAAAGTTCGCATTTGAGTATCTATGTGGTCGGCCGGTATGGAACTTGCTTTTTATACTCACTCCCTAGTCCCTCCCTCTCTCGTTGATGTTGCTTGATATAGGAGTTCTCTGGTGTGTTCACGTTAGCAAATTGATATAACGAGTCAATAGCTGAGCTGGAAGAAGAACACCATGAATTATAGTGAATGAAAAATGAAAAGAAAAAGAATACCGAACTCTGAAAGATTTGAAACCACCTTATTATGATACTATTGAGATTTATTTCCTTCATGTAATAGAGTTGAGCATGCCCATGTGTTAACAGATGTTAACCATGATTGAAAGACATATATGAAAGACAAATAGAATTTCTATAAAATTCCCCTGGGCAACTAACAACTGATTTAACAATTATTTCATGGTTTATGAAAGTCATCTAGTTCTTAGAAGTTAAAACTCTATTTCCTTTTCTAATATCAATCTTGAAAGATTGAAAGACAGACAAGATATAACATGCCTCTTCTGGTTTGAGATTGCTGGTGATTGGTTGTCTATTTCTTCTTATTGTCATCTATTTGGCGGTCCCATACCTTTATGCTGATTACATGCAGGTAGGTGCAGCAGATTATATTGCCCTAGCAAAAAATTATCACACTGTCTTCATTTCTGACATTCCAATGATGAGTATGCAAATCCGTGACAAGGTAACATCATTAGTTTTCAAAGCATGTATAAATTGTGTTTGCATTGCAGATAAGGTCATATAATTCAATATGATGCCAAACATGTTTGATGATGAGGCAAGGCCTAGCAAAGGCGTTGTATGTGGTCATCTATAATACAGATATACTGCTGCCTAATATTTCACGTGTTAATATTTGATTCAAACCTGGATCACTAATTTGTCAAACAGCATATTTTGGTTGGAGGGCAGACCGGAGAAAGAAAACAAGAGAGAGAGATTTAGGGATATATTTAGTTTCTTGAAAACATTGTACCTGTATTTATAATTGCAGCTATTTGATTTAATAAGAGAAGTAGTAATATATAACAAATTATTTAGCAATATTAAGTACTAACAAATATTTTTACAATTTTAAAGTAATAGTCATTTAACCATTCATATATTGCAATGGCATGAAACATTTTTCTACTTCTTATATTATATATATGTCAATGGATTGATTCATGCCAAATATCCATGTACAATGTATGTTTTCTATTTTCATAAAACGCATAAAATTATTGTATTGATTTTTTTTATATTAAATCATTTTTTTTATAAAATGATCTTAATTTTTCAGCATAAACATCATGACTTACAATCATTACTTGCAATTCTTATAGTTTCATTAGTACCTAAAATTTTAAAGCAACAGTTCATCTCAAAATATATTAAAATTATTTTTATTATTCTTATCGATAACTTTCAAATATTAAATTAAAAATCAATAAATGTATATTTTTTTTAAAAATCCTATTTATATTAAACCTCAATATTCGTACAAAATTCTGTAGATTAAGTTGATATTTGAGATTATATGGTTCAAAAATTTTATTTGCTAAAAGGGTTTCAATTAACTTTTTTTATATATATATTTGATTCACATTTTAATTTTTAATAAATGTAATCGATAATTTAGCAAACACTTTAATCATAAATTTTTTTGGATAAATTAATAATTAATACTATTAATTTTTTTAATATCTAAAATATTCTCTTAATTTTTATCGTGGCATATATACTTTTTCTTAGGGATTTTTATAGCATCGTTTTTTTCCATCCTCTTCCATTCTTGTGTAATCACTAATTTTATTTTATAAAATAATAAATATAAATGGTAAATAAATTAAGTGACAAAGATAACTATGTATAAAGAGAAAATTTAACTTAATTGAAAACTATGGCATCTTAATAAATTGTTTTTGAACTTCATCTCTTAATTGGTTTTCATAATTTGCAAGCCTTTGTGTATCCAACTATCTTATATTGTAAATTTTTCTTATGAGAAAAAACGCTTATGCTTCACTTTGATTTATTTGTCAATTATAACCTAAATTTAGTTCTCTTACGTGCAGTAGGATGGCACTATCGCATGACATCATTGACTTTAAATTGGTTAACAAAACGATAATATAAAGTACTTTCTATGAAAAATAACTAGTAAAATATTTTTGATAATTAAAAATTTTGTTTTTGGAAGGTTGCTAATTGAAGACACTAAATCCACGGAGGATTTTCTTAATCCTCATTAGTTGCATCATGCATCCCTTTTCATTTAATGTTTTCTTGGATTGAAGAAATCCATCTATGGATTTAGTGTTTTCCGTAGCTAAATTGTTGGAAAATATGAATATTAGTTTGTAAGTTTTTTAGTTTTTATTTTTTCATTTAAATTTATTTAATTTTATATATGGTAAATAATATATTTGTTTTCAAATAATTCCACTTAATATATACTAGTAATGTTTTCCTTATACAAAAGTCTCAATTTTTTTAATTTAAATTTGGGCCATTGATTGATGTAAGCCAATGAGAATATATATATCTCTACAACAGTTATTGAAAAATTATGATTGTTTTATTAACCAAAAAGAAAATCTAAACTACAATATTATTTTGAAATCACTATGTGTTTGAAAAGAATTCAATTTTTTTCTATAGAAAAATATTTAAAAAGGTTAGAATTATTTTTTTATATATATAAAGTTTTGATCCCAAATGCATTTTATATAATAAATCAAAATATGCAATTAATCCTATGAATTATCAAAATCATGTTAGGTTTCATTCTTTTATCCAATTATGTTAAAAAAATTATTGTATGAATACATGTTGTACTTTTGATATTTTCTTAAAAACCAATTTTGATTGTTGATTCTTTCATCGTAAAAGCCAATAGATCTTATGAAAATCAAAAGTGAATTTCAATATAAATAATATTAAAAAATTCCATAGAAATTCAAAAATCATAAAATAGTTTTTTTTTTTTTTTTTCATATCATCACTACATCACGTTCACTATTATCATACCTCTACCATCAATATTTTGGTACCATTGCAACCTTTTCTTCTTTTTTAAAGAGCATTGCAACCATCTTAACACTAGGCCACTATAATGATAACCATCATTAACACTAGTCATGCTATATCACTATCAAAATCATTACTATTATTGTAAAAACATAAAACATAAAATTGTTACATTCCTCTTTTTATATGAACAATATTTAAAGATTGAATGCAAAATTTGAATATCATAAAATGGTTCCCCCCCCCCCCCGCGTTATGTTCAAACACTAACTTATGATCACTTTAATCGTTATCATCACCACTTCAACCAATATTATGACAATACTCAACCATTTTATCATTATAATACTATAACTATGACCACACTAATATCATTTTTGTCACACCATTATCAAAATCATTGTTATGACCATTGTCATTATAATTATGCTCTATATTGCAAAATTTATTTAGATATATATGGAAAATAAAAAATTTATTTTATTCATATTCATAATTTTTGTTATTATACTAAAAATTAATTTTCCTTTAAAGAACATATTCGGATTTGATTTGATTTTTTTTATTTTTTATTCTTGATTCAATTTTTCTTCTTTTTTTAAGTAGGAAGTAAAGATAAATTTTCCATTATTCAAAGTTTGATCAAATATTTTCTGACAACTTTCACGTACATGAAAGAGGAAAAAAGAAAGAAACTAAAGAAAACATCTTTCCCTGTTTCTGTAAATATAACTAAATAATAATGTTTGTGTTTATAAAGAGAAAAAAAGGAACACGCGACTGTTATTTGTAAAAGAATTTTTTTTTCCTCTCTTATACGAATAGGCTAGATACTAATGTTTATGTTTATACAAAAGACACAAAAAAAAAAAAAAAGTGCAACTTATTCTAAAATATTTGTGTAAAAGGAATTTTTTTTCCCTAATTCTAGTAGGAAATATCCTATTTTTTAAGACATAGAAGTCTTTCCTCTTTTGTAGCAACCAATCAAAGAATATTAATTTATTAATGATTATGTTTTACATATGGACCAATCGAAACGATTTTAATGATGGAAATAGTGGGAATATAACTAAATCTAAGTTTGTTTTTGTCTTCACAAAAGTCTTAACACTGAAAAACTTATTTTGCTATCTATGTGTGTGTGTGTGTGTGTGTGTGTGTGTGTGATGTTCATGCTCTCTTCCACCTCTGCTGAATCATATACATCTAACCATAAAATATGCTTGCATTTATACAATGATGTACTGTTATCTTGGGGTCCCGAAATCTGTTACCATGTTGCTGAAATGGGATCTTTTATCGAACTACATGATCATATAAGATTACAACTGTGCAATTTTTACTTGCTGGTCCCTTTTTGTCATCATCAGTAACAAATTTTAACTTTTCTTTTCAGGCACGTAGATTTATCACCCTCATAGATGAGTTGTACAATCATCATTGCTGCCTATTTTGTTCTGCAGCTGCTTCTATTGATGACTTGTTTAAAGGAACTGAAGAGGGTACACTTTTTGACTTAGAAAGGTAGTTTTGCTTCTTTTTATTGCATTGGGTCTTAATTAATGTGGACATCAATCAATCATCCAATGAATATTTTGATATTGAAGGATGGTATCTGAAGTTCTGAACCTACTGTTCTTATTTTCTATTTCGTTTTTGAATTGCACATAATTGCGGTATCTTTGACAACATAATACATCTTTTTTGCTCATCACACAAAAGTTGTTAATGTGATTTCTTGAAATTTTCATGGAGTTTGTGATTGTTGCTAATATTGTTGATAAAGTGATTGAAGTCCCCTGATTCCTTTATTTATGAGAATATTCAAGTGTGGCTAAAAAGAGTTCAGCTTTAGAACTTTTAAGAGAATATTTTGATACTTTTATATGGTTTTTCTTACTGAGTATCAAAATTACTCCACAGAACTGCATATATGGAAGTGAGATTGTGGAGTCCATGTTATTGAAATCGGTGATAGGATGTATACAGTACTGGAAGTTTGTTATATTTGGAGTTCGTATTGCTAAATTGGAACTAAAAGTGATGCACAACTTGGCTGAAAATCAACACTATATCATAGAAGAGGCCTAGGCGATGAGAGAAACTAGATTAATGCACCAAATACAAGAAATCGAAAGTAATGCGCAACATGATACCCTCAATATGTAACCTTGTGTTATATGGAAACATGAAAAGGAGTGAGAAGTAATTCATGGCATAGAACTGCACAGGGTTGTTTGTGACATTCGCCAAAACCTCTAGTAATGAATGTTCAGTTGAGTTTATGTCCAAGTATTATTACATGGATGTTTTCATGATTACATGAGCAAGTTACTTTTATGGTTTCCAGTTTCCAATTCGAAACAGAGACAGAAGGTGGTAAACTTCGCACAAATGTTTTAGCTGAAGGCTATGTGGGCTCAGGGGGTGCACCATCTGGGATAGTTTCTATGCTATCTGGACAAGAAGAGATGTTTGCCTTCTGCCGAGCAGTAAGTTGTGTTCCACTTGTTCATCACAAATTCCACTTCCTCTCTTTGCATTAAGAAACACTGTTAATAGATACATAAAAATATGAGTTGAAATAATAGGTGGACTTGGAGATGAATCATTAGAATACAAAAGTTGGGAAACTTAATGTTCTTCCACACACCGGAAAATACTAGTAGTTGCTTTGCTCCTATATTGCTGATGACTAGTATGAGCAAGCTACTAAGGTAATTGAGTACAAATTGATCCAAAATAAAATGGGAATCCAAAACCGAATTAGACTTGCAGAAATGGAATATATCAGATGGGCTGTCTTGAATGCAACAATGTGTGCTATGAATGCATGCAGGGTTGCTATCCTTCTGCTCACAAATATGAAATCTTACCTGGAAAATGAACAGAATATCATCATAGCAGGCAGGGCATGAGTTTGAAATTCATAGGAGCCTCACTGTACTGCAGTTATCATTTGCTCATGTTACAATTTCATCTATCTTGCATGCATACATGATGTTTAGAGAAAGGCAGGATTAAATTCAATGGTGCCTGCCAGCCAAGTTCATCTCACTGCAAATTTTGGATATGTGTCCTTTATTTACAAATATGATGAGGGATCATGTCATCTGGGCTTTATATTATTATTACTATTTAGGTTGTGTAGCAATTGATGATGATTTGCTATGCTTTATATTATTATTACTATTTAGGTTGTGTAGCAATTGATGATGATTTGCTATGTACGTAGACTGATGTAGCAAAGAAACTATTGTGGATGTCATACTAACAGACAAGCTGTCTATATAGGTTTCTCGTTTGATCGAAATGCAGACGCCTTTGTACTTGGAAGGAGTTTGTAGTCTTCATCCTTATTTTCAGAAGCAACACCAAGGATAGTTAAAAACTCGTTAATTTGAAGAGATTTTTTTTTCGATTTATTAGATCTTGAACTTGAATTTTGATGAACTATTTGGAAATAACCTTGCAAGCAACCTACAATCTCAAGCATCATCATGAGAAGTAAATAATCCTTTGGTCCGTATTTAGCCCTTGCAACACGTGATTGTAATAATGGCATCTGTATCTCATATCTCCAATTCATTTGGTTTTTTTTTTAATTATTATTATTAAAGAACAAGCACTGAAAATGTATCTTGTAAGATTACGGTACTAAAATTACTGCAGTAATCGTTGATTTGCCTCAGTAGTGTCTCTCACTCTCTTGTTCCATCTCCATGTAGTTAAAAAAAAATTGATGCCCGAAACTGTAATCAGAGTTTCAAGTCTGTCAATTGAGCAGTTTGAGATATATCAGACCATTTGTTGTTTGTTATCCCTGGCATGAAATATCATTGGTTAGGTCGGATGGTACATTTGCTAACAGGTTGGTGGTGTTGTGACTTGTAAACATTTGAAGAGCATAAAATGTTGAACACCAGGTGTCTTTTTCTAGCTAAGGTTCCACCTAATGAGTCACATTCACACATACCATTTGAATATCATGAAGAGAAACTTGATAGAATAAGAGATTTGGTTGGTTGCAGCTTCAAAGGAGGTCAGTGTTTCTAAAACTAGAAAGTATTCTTCTAGGGGATCGATCTGTACTTTCTCCATTTTTGGTCTAAAAGTAAGCTCCTTAGTATCTCAGACTGAACCCAGTCTCTCCATATTCCAGAGTCAAATCTTTGTTAATTCATACTCAAACTACTTGTTTACCTTAATCTTTTATTAAACATCTATTGTTATTATCATTTTCAGTTGCTGAAGAAAGCTTCAGGAGCACGCATAACTCTACATTAACTTAAGCCTTAAAGTACTCTACCGCATCATTCATGGGCATCTTATACCATCGTGCAGGTTTTTAATTTATCTTTTCTTAATTAATAAAGTATGACATTTTATAGCTGATTTTGTCGATATTAATATGCCTTAACTAGAAGGGAAACCCCACTAGGATGGTGCATTTGCTCTGATTGATCTCACCACTAAGCATTATGCTTTATGATTAAGACTCGAATGTGATGTCAAAAAATCACATTTTTAATGAGGTATTAGCCCACTATGTGATCACTACTCTGCCACTAATTACGTGATAAGACAATCCATAATCGTAGTCACTTTGGTCTTCTAGTATCCACAATCGATCTATATACTGCCAAAAATTTAGCGGTCCTATGGATATTTGGCAAGCTTTGAATGATATGTATTCGTAGATGCTGAAACTACAGCCATACATTAGTCAGAAGTTCACATCTTGAAGTTTCATAGTAAGCATGCGAGAACATGACAACGATGACGACGATAAGCACTCATAACTTCCAATGTGAACCCCTTAATAACTTTTTGAAAGGGGTAGTAAAGTTATGGTGAGAAGCTTTGAATGATAACTTCCAATATGCTCTTCAAGGATCGTCACCATAGCTTTGTTTTGACTATTTCATAGAGTGTGACGAAACATATACCACTCGTAGGTCCGTGGAAAAGAAAGATCACAATTCAGAGGACGACTGCCAACTGCTAAATATGTGTATCCTTCCTGACCTTGTTTTGAGCTAGGTGAATGGGCTTGGCCATTTATGATAGATGGGAACTAATAGAAGTTTAACATTGGATTGGAAAATCTAGGAATAGGCTGAATAATAATTAGGTTACCAACAGTTGACTATTATTATTATTACAAAAAAAGGGTTCAAACTCGACATTTTTTTAGAGATGGAGAATATTCATGTCAATTGAATTACAACTCAATATTGACGATAAAAACATCATTTACATTATAGTAAAATTATCTTTAAAAAATTAATCATCGACGGTTTTATGATTTTTTGGTATTTTTAAGGAGAACATGCGAGTTATATATGATATTTAACAAAAATAATATAATTGAAAAGGTGTCACTCGAAAAATCTTATAATTCACGACTTGAAATAAAAAGTAATAACTCAGGAATACCAATCAAAATATATTTAACAAAAAGAAAATAATAGAAAAGGTTTCAATCAAAACATATTATAATTCAAGAGTTAAAATAAAAAATAATAATTCAGGAATATTAATAAAAATATTCTCGTCTTTGAACAGTTGTGCCTAAGAAATATTCTAACAGTATGGTTTTAGTAGTGCTTAATTAGGATATAAAAAGAGAGAAGGAGCACAGCCTTGCTACAATGTTTACCATTAACAATCGGTGGATCGTCTCCATTATTTAAAATCGGTTGCACTAGCGACAAGTCATGTGAACGTTTGTATCCATGGGAGTCCACCTTATTTTGGAGGAAGTCCCATGCATAATAGTTACAAACGTTAGAAATTCACGAGCTATCTTCTTCTTTTTTCTTCTTTTTTTTTAAATGTACAAACTATCTAAAGATAAAAACTTAGACTTATGTCTCTCGTAAGGTAAGTTATAATTGTTCGTGCTAATCTCTGTGGGTTAACCCATTGCTTTTGTTTACTTGTTAGAAGGAAGGAAAGCTTCCTAGGCTCCAAGCTCTTCTTGTTTAATCAGAAGTTCGAGAGTACAAGAAAGAAGCAGAGTGGAAAGTTAAAAATAGAAAAGGTCCACTTAATCCAAGCCCTCTTTCCTCCCTATTCGTTTGATTTGGACAAATTTTAAAACATGAGCTCAGAAGGGGAAATTGGATATAAAGATGGCATTTGGTTTTTGGAGTTCAATCCTTATAAAGATGGCATTTGGTTTTTGGAGTTCAATCCTTAAGCAGGAGAAGGCAAGTCTGTTTTTGTTTTCTTGTTTTATTATCAAACAAGTTGATCATATATTAGTGAAATAGCAGCTAATTATAAGATAGTTCCTGAGCAGGACGTTTTCCACCTTAATTAAGTCGTTAGTAGATTCTGAGAGATTAGTTAATTATTTTTAGCAAGGCATCTGTATCCAACAAGCAGTATTTAAGTCGAAGCAACAAGCAAACTGCAAGAATTAGTATAAGTTGTTAAGACTTAGCATCAGATACAATAAGGTCCTTATTGGATAACTTTTGTGAATTTCTAATTATTGTGAGCTACTAGGTATGAGGCCTCTTTTAAGAAAAACAAGGGGGGATCTGGCCTCCAAAGCTTAGTGCAAATGATCCATTTAGTCTTTCTAGGTCTTAGAGGTGTTCATGTTGGAAGGGCATAGGCATGGATAGATCATTCTATTATTTGCTCTATAATCTTCGTTTGAGAAGAGTCATCAGTATAATTATATGTGAAATACATCTAATCAAAATTTTATTTTAGAGAGGAGACTGAAGTACAAATATCCAACTACTTCTAAATATTAGAAGCATCATATCATTTTTCCTTCACATCTATCTGAAGGATTGCATGATAGAGTTCAGCAACATGTCTTAATTGAATCAGATCCTGCAACACAGTATGAAAGTGATCAGTGAAAAAGAAACAAACACTACTTTTTAAGTACAGAAGGAGGAGGAGATACGTACTGGATGTATTCAACATTGATTCTTGCGGATCGAGAACGTGATACAGCAGAGAAGGCATCAGTTGACAAGAGAATAGTAGAGGGGCATGGTGATTTTCTGCATAAATCCACCACCCTAACATCTATAGTTCCATCCTTGCATGGCCTATTATCTCCACTTAGACACCTCAACCTGTAACGCCTCCCACAGGCAGCTCCATTATCCCACAAACCCTCACTCACAGAAACAAACAAGTTCCCTGGTGGGAATTGGTCTTGTCTGTTGCCATGACACTTGGTAGCTGCACAAAGATTCGAATAAACCCATCAGCGAAAACCAAGCTTGAAGGAACTTCTAGACAAAAATAGTAAAGGGAAAACATGAAAATTTACTCACGTAAATATGGTGGTGCATAAGAAGCAGCAGTGCCAATGTCCCCGAGAGCAAAACCTATCTCATTGCTGAGTAAGCTAAAGACTAGCATTGTTATGGCTATGAGTACCATGGTTAGAGCTAGTTGAGGAAGAGGAACTATGAACTTTGATTAGAATTGCACCTCTCTTCCTGCCAATTGCCCAATTTATAGCCTTCCTCTTTTTTTTTTTTTTTTGGTTGGTTTGACAATGATGTTCACATTGTACAGTTGAGGAATAAATTATTCGTTTCTAGATGAGCATGAGAACTTTGGGATTTGAATGGGTGCTGTACTTTAAAGTGAGGTTCATAAAACAATGGGATGCAAAGTTTTACTTTTAGACTATAAGGGCCGGCCTAGTGATTTCCATAATTAGTTAATTTATTGCTCTCTCTGACTGCTTAAAATTCCATAAACGGTTATTCCCCTTTTGCATCTATACTTGGCTACAACTATTTTTATAAAACTCTGTGTCATGAGTTAGTGGCTGTCTACATTGATTTTCCTTAGTAGGCATCAATAAAAATACTAAGAATATTAAGATACTTGTTTGGTAATCGGGAATAAAATGATGGGAATGAGAATGCATGAATCGGAATGAAAATTAAGGAATCGAATGGTATTTGTATTCCAATATCGTGTTTGGAATACTAATAAGGAATCGGAATGCAATTTAAATTTTTTAATATCCGATTTTGTATATAAATATAAATAATGATTAAAAAATAATTTTATTAAACTATAATAGTTATAAAAATAATAAAGGTGATGATAGTGATTGTGATGGCTCTAGTAGTGATGGCGGTGACGGTGGCGATGGTGGTAATGATTACGGCAGTGATGATGGTTGTGATTATGATAATGATGGTTGTGGTGGTGGTGGTGATTGTGATGATGTTAGTAGTGGTAGTGGTAGTGGTGGTGGTTGCGGTGATGGTGGTGGTGGTTGTAGTTATGATGGTGGTGGTGGTGGTGGTAATGGTAGTGGTGGTGGTGGTGGTTGTGGTTGGGATGATTGTGGTGATGAAGATAGTGGTGGTGGTGGTTGTGGTTGTGATAGTGATAGTGATAGTGGTGGTGGTGGTTGTGGTTGTGATAGTGATAGTGATAGTGATAGTGGTGGTGGTTGTGATGAAGATGGTGGTTGTGATGTTTATGGTTGTGATGGTGGTGGTGGTGGTGGTTGTGGTGATGGTGGCAAAAGTAGTTAATAGATAATAAATAAATAAAATATATTATTATTTTGAAAAAAAATTCATTCCCATTCCTTGTTTTTTATTCTCACATTTTATGTGGGAATGAAGTTATGTGTAAATTTTCATTCTCATTCCCACTCTTCATTCTCATTCTCACTTCATTCCTTTTAACCAAACAGCTTACAATGTGGGAATAAAACTTTTATTTCCATTCCCATTACTCTATTCCCGATTACCAAACAAGCACCTAAAAGAAAACGATTGCTTACTCGTTTTTCGAGCACTCATTGAGACTCGTAGGCTTGTGGTGGGTTTAGAGTCATTGGCACTCGTACATTTTTACTGTTTGGCTAAAAAGTTCTACTTTGGTCCTTCTTTTTAAGTAATTTTGTTTTGATCTCGAACTTCATTTATCTTTTATTATGGTCTTTGTCTTTGGATGCTCTATACTTCATTTATCTTTTATCCTGCTCTTTGTCTTTGGATGCTCCGAAGGGAGGGGAAAGAAAGAGACGGTAAGGCCTATTCCGACCATATTAAGTGTCAAGATTACCTTTAATTTGTTCATCTTAAAAGGAAAAATTTGTTTGTAGTTGTCATAAATTATAAAATAATTGAAGGAGGTAGATTAAAATCCTAAAAAATTATGAGGTTTTTTGTATTGATTTGGATTTTTATATGTTTTATGTGTTTTAAAATGAGTTTTGAGATTCTAAAAGGGTTTATGGACTTTATTTTTATGATTTTGAGATATTTTTTTGGCACAAAGACATTGAATTTGTGTTGGAAAGGTCAAAAACTATAAAAACTTATTTTTTGATGAATTTTTCGACCAATCAAAATTGGTTAAAAATTACAAACGGACAACACGTCATTTTTTCCACACGAAGCGAGATGATGTGTCGTTTTTTTCTATTTTTTATTTATTTATTCTGGCATGTGAGGGTTTGGAAGCAAGCCTAAGAGCGCAAGCTTGTGCCTTAGCTGTTTTTTTTTTTGGCTTTTTTAATTTATTTAATATTTTTATTGATAATTTTTAGGCAAAAATTATGAAAGATCTAACATTATTTTTTGTGTTAGTCTTGCAATAATAAAATATATATGCTATCTTTTCATATTTTATTGATATATTTTATATTATATTACTTTTATTATTTAAAATTTATTCCTTTAATTTTTTATTTCTTATGAAAATTCTCATTCGATGAATTTTTTATTTTTTATAAAATTTTATTTTTTGATAAATATGATTTATTTTTCTCTATATATAGATTTTACAATAATTTTTTTGACATGATTGTTTTTAAAGAAAAAATTATATAACGTATATCATGGATTTTTAGAAATTTTAAATGATAGTGACGTGATTAATATATGTTTAATGTAAAGGTTAAAAAATGTATTTTAGATAATTTGTCTCTAAAATTTTTAATGTTTTTTGTTTTGTACTTCGCACTCTCAACCCACCAAGTATAGTCATGATGTATAAAAAAATATTAAAAAATTAAATGTATATCAATACACATAACACCAATCATTTATTATTATTTTTCATAAAACTAATTTCTTGAAATAAAATAATTAGAACAATGTTTTAAAAGAACCACTAATGATTGAAATATATTTTTTATGCTAACATTATTGATAATTTTTTGAATAAATATATATAAATCAAATGTATATATTTTCAAAAAATAATTTTATGACTAGCATTAACTAAAAATAAAAATATTTTTTTTGATACAATCTTATAAAAAATATATTTTGATGACATGTTTTTGAATTTCGGATAAAATTTTTAATTTACATTTTTACAAGTTTTTATTTAAGATTAATGCATAAAAAGAACGAATCATGTTATTTTTAATTAAATACAAATTTTGATTAAAAATTAAAATTTTTAACTTTTTTTTTACTTTGATTCTATATATGTTTATAGATTCACAATATAACATTGATTATCAAATTGAAATAATACCCACAGTGTATTGCGGCCAATCGAGTCGTAAAATCTAAGAGGAATGCTACAAATGACCAAGTGTCCCAGTTTCAACTTTCCAAGCTTAAATATTCATGTGTAATTAAAAACTTATTTTTAATCATTAGTATTTTCACCCAGCCCAGCTTTCTTTCCCAGGGCGAGGTCCTTTTCTGATGAGGTTTTAGCTAGTTTATTTGTCATACCCGGATTGATTTATTTCTCGTGACTTTTTTTTTATTAAATTCAAATTGGAGATAATAACAAGATGAGATTGTCTAAAGAATTTCATAATATTATTAATATAGAATATTATCTAGAGTTTAGTGACGGCATATAAAATAATAAGCAGAGCAAAACTGCCTTTTTTTCTGCATAAATACTGTTCCTAATTGGTGGAAGTTGATAAAAAAAAAAAAAAAAAAGGTTTGCAGTTCAATCTATATCTGTATTTGTTTATTGTTGGACGGCTTTGTTCGGTATTTTCCGCGAATGAATTGCATTCAGCCCATTTAGTGTTCAAGTTGGATCTGCATTTGAAGTTTATCGGACATGCATTTGCATATGGGCTCAAGCCCATCAAAACATTTTCATATATAAAACTGGGCTGGTTCTTTCTAAAGTTAAAGAGCTCATTGACTTGGTCTGGGCCAAAAAACTGAAGTTGTTGAAAGGATTATTGGGTAGTTAGTTGTCCCTTTCATTTGTCTGTTCCCATATTCAGGCCCATCCTCGAGCTAATCCTTTTTAGCAGCCTGTTCCTACGCCAGATCATGCAAGGAGAATTAGCAAAGGTGGAAAAATCAGGAAGTTTTGGGTTTTAAATCTTAGCAAATCTTGACATGTTGTTATTAAGTCAATGTTGGATTATTTTAATAAAAAAATAATATTGATTATAGAAATTGATTTTTCTCAAAATTATTAATTTCATTTTTTATAACCTACTAAATATGAATTTATATCTAAAAATATTTTTAAGTTAACAAGTGTTATTACGACTTACCGTTGCAAAGTTTTAATGAGACTTTATGTACTGATCGAGTAACAACTATAAATTGATGTGTTGATTGTATGTTTCTAGTGTGTGTGAGTCACTAATTGAAAAAAAAATTACCGGTTAGTAATTTAATTGCATGTCATGATAACCAATAATAACAACAATTAACCATATTTGTAATCATCTGTTTAGTATAACTATAGAAAGACATCGTTATAATCATTTAAATGGTATTTTAAGATCGTTTAATCTTTTGAGTTGAGATAAATTTTTGATATGATATTAAAGTTTTATGATCAAATAATTAAGAACTCAAATCTTACTATTTTTTTCAATAATTAAATATAAAATAACGTAAATATGTGCATATTTTAAGCATAAAAAATTTTTATTTGAAGAAGTGTGTTAGATTCATTTAAATCATATTCCATGGGATTTTATAAAAAAAATCTATTTTTGATTGTATGGTTGATCATACTATAAAATATATTATTATAATTAAAAATATATTATTAATGGTATTTTATTTTTATTATTATTTGGATAAAGTGAGGGTATTATATAGTATTTTATTTTCGCATTTCTTAGGATAAAGTGTATTTTATAACTGTGTGTTTAGACTGGATTTTGGGATCTAAAACAGTTTTTCCAGCTTTGTCAACATTCTTATATTTAATGGCCTATATCGTACACCTAAATAAATAAATAAAAATGATGAAGTTAAGAAAAGTCTAAGGATATCTGTAAAAGAAAGTTTCTAATTGAAGATTCAGTGATTATCTCTGACTCTGAGTTTATATTGTCAAGAGATAATCTCGTTTTGTATGAGTTTCTGTCTGATCTTTACGTTGTTCAGTTAGACGTCTAAACTCTAAAGTCACCAACACTACAGTTGTGCTTTAGCCACAGCAAATGTCGAACATCCAAAAGATGAATGTAATGATAAAAATAAACGCGTCTAGAATCAGAATAAAAAACACATGGTTAAGCAAGTAGGGTTGGTGACAAGGGTGGCAACTGGCAGGACAGCTGACTTTCAAGGATTTAAAATGGAAAGTGGATAAATAGTGAGTTACAAAGTCTCAATTGACATGTAATTTCTGATTTCTCTTTTTCTTTTGCTTTTAACATAAGGAAGTATGTAAATAATTTTCGAGCGTCACGAATAATATTATTTATCTCAAACTATCTATTTCGAATTCGATCATCCAGGAAACAACTACTAAGAGATGCCCCATCTTCTTTAACTGATGTACCCGGAATCCGATGAGGGTCTGCAAGCTTGCAAGGCCCATGAGAAGAGATGAAGGATGATATCGTAATGATTTTCAGCCAAAGAAATCTGCATCTGGTGTTGCATCCCTAATCTTATCACAGCTACAACTTACACTAGCTTCCTCCACTTAAGAAGTTAAGATTTCTTTTGTGCCAATATGCAGGAATAAAGCACATGGAATTGACCATTGAGGTCGGTAAAAGAACTGATTATGACCAAAAAGAGTCTACTCATGGTCCAGAAGCACACGAAGTTCATGCCACAAATAATGGTAATGCTCACCAAGAGAAGGACAACTTCACTGACTACAAAGAAGATCCTATGAAATACTGGAGCACGTGAAGATTAATAATTCTCTTAAATTTCCACAATCAACGATAACAGGTTTTTTTTTTTTTTTTTGTCAAGTGCACTGTTGTTCATTTGTGTGTTCTCATGTCTTTTAGTGGACTGGCAGCTACAAGTGGTGCCAAACTGGTCACGTTTAAAAAATAAAAATAAAAAGTGGTGTTATAATCTTAAACTTTTTTTATTTGTTTTTTTGTTGTCAATTTTATGACCATACCAAGAAGCAAATGGGTTATGGAATATTAGAAACATACTGCCAACAATTCTTCCAAACAAAGCTTTCAATGGTCTTTTTTCTGACGTCTGCGTGACAATTTTTGCTAAGAGATCCTTTATTTAACGCACAATCAGGCGCACATTAGTCTACCAAAAAAAATGCAAATTGCCAAGCGCACATTAATTTCATAGATTTTGGTTGCACTTCAGCTAGTGAATGATTTAGATACAAATAATATTAAACGAGGGGTGGCTGACACTTGAACCGTGTTTTACAATACTTGAATCTAGAAGAACCTTAGCGACGAACAACTTTTTTCTACAATCATATGACTAAGCCCAAAATTTTAGCTTGCATGACCATATTTATATCAATATCTTAAGGTAGTTTGGTTGAGGAGCATAATTAATAAATTTCTATATCCTATTAATGGGTTAATAGTTGAAGAGGTTTTTTATTATCTTTTTTTTAATTTATTTTTCTATGTTTGATTTTTTATCTTAATCTCGTCCATTTGTCAATTTTTTAAACTAATTATGTTTAATTTTTTTTTCCTGTTTTAATCTCATGCCTCTATTTTATTTTCTGTCTTATTATTTTTTTTATGAATTTTTTTTAAAAAATTAAAAAAAATAGAAAAGAAATGAAAATATATCCGGTCGTTCTCTTTTAAAAAGTAAAAAATAAAGATAAAAATATTTTTTATCCAAAATATCCTTTATAAATTTAAATTTTTCTTTAGGATAATAAACAAATTTTGAGTATAAAATAAAATATTTAATGTATTTTTTAAAAAATGTGAAAAGAGTTTTAGTTAAATTTTAAATTTTTGAATTTTTTATAAATTTGTAACATTTCAAACGAGTCTTATAATTAACTTATTTTGATTTTATAAATTTCTTAATTTGACTCAAAAGTAGGAATATTAAGTTTTGTTAATATTGGACCTAATATAAACAAATTTCTTAATTTGGCTAAAATTTGTAACAAAATTTATATTCTCACTTTTGAATCAAATTAAGAAATTTATGAAATCAAAATAAGTAAATATACTAGACTTTTTGAGGTGTTATTAAAATTGTATATACCATTTAAAATTTTAAAAATTTAACTAAAACTATAAAAAAAAAAAAACACTAAAAATATTTTATTCTATACTAATATTTGATTAAAAATTATGAAATTAATTTTACAATATTAAAAAATTAATAGTAAATATTTGGTGCGTATGTGTGTAGATGCATAGTTAATTTTTAATAAAATCAATGATCTCATTTTTTTTATTTTTTCTTTTTGTATATTATGACCATACTCGGTAAGTGAGAGTGTGCAATATAAAAAAAATATATTTTTTAAAGAAAATTAAGTTGTAAGAAATATATTGAAGTTAGTAGACTATAATAAAAACAACTATAAAATTGAGTTTGATATATTTTAGTTAGATAAAAAATAAACATATAAAATAGATGAATTTTATTTTTCAATTGATTACTTATTCAAAAATTCGTACATAAAAAAAAATAAATTATATTTATTAACAAATACAATTATATAAAAATAATAAATTAATTTCATAAGAGTTTTCATAAGAAATGGCAAATTAAAAAGATCAATTTTAAATAAAGAATCATTTTTTTTAAATTACAAAATATATGAAATGCATAGAATAGAATTAACTAAATTCAATTTTTTATCAAATATTATGAAACTAGATGGATTTTTTTTTAATTTTATATATTTTAATTGATCAAAAACATATTGTAATTTATTGAATTGAAGGAAATATATTTTGTTTAGTGCGTATCACAGCGCAGAATTGCAACTAATACGATTTATTACGAAATTAGCCTAAGATCCATTAGTGAGGGTCCAAGAGCAGCTGTAGCAGTGAAAGTTGAAAATTAGATGCGGACTGATTGGATAATAATTATGTATGTAATTGAAATGCAATCCTACATGCTTTAGTCGGAAAAAAGATTTTTATTGTTTTTCTAAAAAAGTAGATACACGATTTCTTTTTCCTTGACCGAAGGATCTGTGTGACGTCATGAATTTGATATTCCATTCCTTTTTCCTTGGGATTATGAGTAGGTATCAATGCCACCTTTTTCAATTTGCGACCAAATTGAAGGCCATTAAAAATGAAAAAAATTATATTGACGGATTCTTCATTGCAATCATCCGTTGAAACAAGGATAAATCAATCGATATTTTCGACCTTTTTCCTTGTTTTTGCTGACCAATACAATCACTCACTGATTTGCTTGATTTTTCTATTTCGATTGTACACATAACACACTTGATTTTTTGCCCTATACAGAATCGTGCAAAAAGAAGGGTCCTATTGCCATGCATGGTAGTTGAATCTCTGTTCTTTTTTTTTTCATTCCTGTATTGATTTTGGGATTTTTCTAAAAAGATAATTTGGATTGGGCTTTTTTTACGGCAGAATTCATAGAGGTATAATTTACAAAGATTAAATTATAAATCAGTGCTCATAGTTTTGGTAAAAAAATTTAATTAATCTTTTTAGTTTAAAACCAATTAATTTTAGTTTCTTTACCAGTATTAATCATGCTTAATTTAATTTTTTTCACATCAATCTTTCCATGATATATATTTAATTTTTTTATATATATTTCTATTTCTTAAAAAAAAATACATGAAAAAGATGAAAAAGATTAATTAATTAGTTTTTAAAAATAAATAAATTATTTAATTCATTTTGCAAAATTAAAAGGACTAATTTATAATTTATTCAGCTATAGATTAAATTAATTGTCAAGTTTAATGAACATAATCAAATTACGACTCTGACCTTTGAGTCGGCACTGAGCTTTTCAAATCCAAATTTGCATATTAGTAGAAACCAAATACGTTACAAAATAATATAAAATATTTTAAAATCATATAAAATATTTTAAAATAGTTTGAAAAATATGATTTATGTTAATTTATAAAGAAACTTCAATTTTTTTTTTATACTGATCTAATAAATGGTGGAGATTTTATCTCTCTATATAAAAATTATCCAAGAATTTTACGATAATTAAAATCGAAAATAAAAATATCAAAAGTAAAGCAATGCTTAGTCCAAATGGGAAGCCACTTTTATTATACTTGACGCGTGCTTAGTCAAAGCTTAATTTGCAATACGAAAACTTTCTTCGTTTATGTGGATTTTTTTCTTTTAGATAATAATAATAATAATATAGTTTAATAATTTATGTACTAAATTAAAATCAAACCCTATTGATTTTTTAAAAAAGAACAACATATTTGAATGGCCCAAAGTAAATATCCTCAGAAATTCACAAAATACCAAATAGCCCATAAATGACAAAACCAAAATCCAAAAAGTAGTCCAAAAACTCAAAAATCTTTGAATAGGAAGAGACTGCCTATGACAACAGTCTTCCCCATCACTTCCCTTTGCCAACACAAAAACCTAACTCAACAAGCCACCTAAGAAAACCCCTACTATATATATATATATATATATATATATATATAACCTAAGCAACACGAGGAGCATTGTAGAGAGGGAAAAAAAAAGAGAGAGAGAGAAAGAGAGAGATTCACCAACCCCTCTTCTCTCTCTTTCTAACAACATTGAAGCTTTCTTCTTGCTGGAAGTTTTTGCGTTTCCCTTCTCTTGTTTTCACCGTTATCGATCTCTCTTGGATTCTTCAACAAAAAAATCCAATCTTTTTTATATGTTTGCAATTTTTTACATCATGGCCATTAATCAAAAATGGAGTTTTTAGGCGTCCATTTGCTCAAAATCCATTCTTTTCCTGCCTAAAACTTCTGGTTTTGGACTTTTGGGTATTCATTAAAGCATAAAAAAGAGTTTTTTTACAAGGTTTTCATTCATGGGTTGGGATGGAAACCAGTTCTCTGATGATAATTAATTAATTAATTATGTACTAAATTAAAATCAAACCCTATTACTTTAAAAAAAAAACAACATATTTGAATGGCCCAAAGTAAATATCCTCAGAAATTCACAAAATACCAAATAGCCCATAAATGACAAAACCAAAATCCAAAAAGTAGTCCAAAAACTCAGATCCATCGGCATGATAGAGTTCAGCAACATGTCTTAATTGAATCCGATCCTGCAACAAAGTATGAAAGCGATCAGTGAAAAAGAAACAAGCACTACTTTTTTAAGTACAGGAGGAGGAGGAGATACGTACTGGATGTATTCAACATTGATTCTTGTGGATGGAGAACGTGATACAGCAGAGAAGGCATCAGTTGACAAGAGAAAAGTAGAAGGGCATGGTGATTTTCTGCAGAAATCCACCACCCAAACATCAATAGTTTCATCCTTGCATGGCCTATTATTTCCACTTATGCACCTCAACTTGTAACGCCTCCCACATGCAGCACCATTGTCCCATATACCTTCACTCACAGAAGCAAAAAAGTTCCCTGGTGGGAATTGGTCTTGCCTATTTCCATGACACTTGGTAGCTGCACAAAGAGTAGAATAAACCCATCAGGGAAAACCAAACGTGAAGGAACTTCTTGACAAAAATAGTAAAGGGAAAACATGAAAATTTACTCACGTAAATATGGTGGTGCATAAGAAACAGCAGTGCCAATGTCCCCAAGAGCAAAACCTACTTCATTGCTGAGTAAGCTAAAGACTAGCATTGTTATGGCTACGAGTACCATGGCTAGAGCTATTTGAGGAGGAAGAACTATGAACTTGATTTGATTAGAATCGCACCTCTTTTGCTGCCAATTGCCCAATTTATAGCCTTCCTTTTTCTTTTTGGTTGGGTTGACAATGATGGTCACATTCCAAAGCTGAGGAATAAATTACTAATATTCTAGAACACAAGCTTTTGAAAGTTGAAACAGTGTTTTTTTTTTTTTTTTTTAACCTGCTTTTTGAACCCAGCTGCCAATCCCGTGTGCAGCAATTTGCTGCCCCCACTAAAGTTGTGTTTTTTTCTGCCCTTATCTTTTTGCCTTATTTTCTTTTATACCACTTATTGTTGTGTTATTTTACCTTTTTGGCCCTTTGTTTCTCTCCTCTCATTTCTTTGTTTTTTCTTCCTTTTTCGTAACTTTCTCTTTTTATCCCATAGCATTTAATGCTCCAGCATGGTTGTGCTTCAGGAACTTTTTTTGCTTGCAAATAATTGATGCATGTTAACTAAACTGCCTTTATTTTTAATAGTAAATGAACTAATGGTATCCTTACTTTTTTTTAATAATAATAAAAATACTTTAGAGTTGATATATTAATGTATTTGGAGTAAACATATAGTAAAGGTTTACACCTATTAATTGATTAAAGTGAGAATATTTTTAAACAAATTATTTAGTACAAATAGTTTTTAAATAAAATTTGAAGTAAAATTAAATTCTTCTATTGAATAGGACTAGATTTCTATCCAATTTGGATTAATTAAAAATCACATGCTTAGTATGAGACACCCTAACTCAATTAATAAAAAAATTAATTAAAAAAATCATATGTTTATTTGCTTCTTCATATATAAAAGAATAAAAATCATGTGTTGAGCAGTTAAATTAAAAAAAAAAAACACTAAAAGAAGTTGAGTGTTGCCTGTTCACTTACCGTACATGCAGACTCAGTCTCCCTATCCATCCACTTCATGCTCTATTTTGGCCGCCATCTCTCTCACGTTTCATCTTAACCCTTGGATCTTCTTTTTATTGTTAATAATCTTAGTTTATTTCTCAGCCCTTTTGTTTCAAATATTTACAAGATTTACCATTAATGCATTTGTGCAATATCGCTTCTGCGCTTCTTTCTTTTCAAAAACAAAATATTTAATTAATCGGTTTATTTGTAATTTTAACACACCTCCCCATCAATCATTTCCTTTCTTCTGTTGCTTGTGATTGTTTGCCACATTTTCAATCTTATCATTAAAATACTGTATCCATCAAAACCTTAGCTCCTTTATCTCTTTCTTAAAAATGGCAGTGGCACTCACCTCTCTCCTTCTCCGCTGTGATGGCCTCATCCTCTTTAGAAAACCCTCACTCTCTCTCCTCAATAAGCAGATCTGTTCCACTCGCATCACCTTCGCCTTCGCCTCTCCTAAACCAAAACCTAAAGTAGCCGCGAACCTCCAGAGGTACGCCACCTCTCTCTCTCTCTGAAAATTAAGAGAGAGTTCATGTAGAAAAGAGAGAAATACATGAGGAGACAAAGTGAGAAGATGGATGGTTATGATGGAAGCAAGGAAATTGATCTCATGTGAGTTTGAGTTTGGGTTTGGAGTTTTAGATGGTTTTGGGTTTTAATTTTGTTGATTTAATTTGGTTACAGTGTTATTGCTATGTTTGTGATTGTGTTGCGCCATGTAAGGGCTGGAACGATTCTAAGTCAGCTCATTGCAATGCTTCTGATAAAATTGGTGATTGGAAAGGGCAGAGGTTGAAGAGAAAGGAAGAGATCAAACTCTCAGAGTCTTGAGTCTTTCTAATTTTGTTAATGGTATCTAACACTTGCATTGCATTGTAAGAGCTGATCCTTTTCATGTCAATTAGTCAAATTTGTGCTTAGAATTTGATGTGTTGGCTCTGTCACAATGTTACAAGATTTTGTGGAAGTTAAATCCACTTTGCTATTGCAATCCTGGCCTGTAAAAAAAGCTAACCTCTGAAGGAGACATACCTCGGGGAGGCTAGAGGTCAATGTTGGCAATACTGCTATCAGATAGTGTTCGATTGGACAGTTTGGCCATTGATGTAGTTCTGTTATGACATTTATGACAGTCTACAAACTTGAGATAGATTCGCAAGAATTTTGCTATCCATTCATGCTATCATGTGCGCTCATCTGTTGAATTTTATCCTCAGTATCTGTCACATTCTTGACTGTCCTTTCTTTTCTTGATGCATTTTTCATTGTTATTACCTTATCTTGAGTTGACCAACTTGCTGCAATGTGTAGGTCTGGAATCTGTAGGCAAATCAAGATGGCTATGCTCCATCTGCTGTTGAAATTTTGCGGATTATTGATGAAACCTTGGATGGATTGCTACCTGACTTGATGGCTGGTCTTGACAGATGCCTTCAGTATTATGCAACTAAGGCAAAATCTGGCTGTGATAAATGCTTGCATAGCTCAAATAATATGCCCATGGCTTCAGTTTTAAGTTTCTAACAATTGCCATCATTCAATCTGATATGTAGGATCACGAAATACATATGTTCCAACTATGCCAGCATTGGCCAGATGTACTACAGAATCAAGGTTTGCATGGAAGAAGAAAGAGAAGTCGCCAAACACTCAAAAGAGGAATTCTCAGATTGCAACAATGAATGGGGATAATCCTTTTATGGTAGCCCGGGTCTGTGTTCGTATAAATACTTTGCACAGAATCCGATCAGAGTTGGATGTTCGAGAGAAGAGAATAATAACCCATTTGGGGAACTTAGCATTTTACCAGTAATAAGAAGAAAAGTATTTTTTCTTTTCTTTTTTTCTTTTTTTTATTTAGAGAAAAAGGCCTTACAGGACAAATTATTATTTAGAGAAGAAGACCTTACAGGACAAATTACTTGAATAAGATAAATAAGATACATCCAAAGATTGCCAATATATTTGTAGGACGTCTAGCCTCCTTTTCTTTTTTCTTTTTTCCCAGTTTCTATATTTGTAGGGTTATTGTTATATGGTTAAATATATTATTGAGGTCCTTATTTATTAAAAATATATTTTGTTTAAATGATAAATTTGTTTATAGTTAATAATTATAATATATTATCATTAAATTTTACAAAAATTATTAAATAATTATTATAAAATAATTATTTGTATTTTGATTGTGAATATTATATTTATTATACAATATAATGTTTTGTTATTATTTTAAATTATGATATAAATAATTTATAAATATATTATTTAACGAATTTGAATATATATAAAAATTGATAAGTATTTTAATAATATAATATATTTGATAATCATACCATATAATTAAATTAATATTACATCGTATTAGTTAAATATTATTTTAAATATCTTGATATAATAATATAATATATATTTATAAATGATTTATTTAAATATCGGATGACAATAATTCTCCTTATATATAAATAATTTATTTTTATATTTTTTTGTCATAAAATTAAGTGTGAAAATATAAAAAAAGATCGTTATTTTTTTTATTTTAGATATAATTTGACAATAATAGAATATATATGATACTTAAAAAAATTTTAATTTGAACATATATGTTTGATTATATTATTTTTATTATTTAAAATTTATTTCTTCTATTGTTTATTTCTTATTAAAATTCTCATCGAATTAATTTTTAACTTTTATATGATTTTATTTGTTGATAAATCTGATCCTTTTTTATGTATGGCTTTTGAAATAAAACTTTAGAACTTGATTGTTTTATTTTTTAAAAATATATTATTATAATTTATGTGATTAATTATTTTTATGATTTTTTTAATAAAAATCACATTATTGCATATATAAATTACGATAAGAAAGAGAGAGCTAGAAGTGTGTTTCAAATATTATAATTGTTCTAGAAAAAAAACTAAGAGAATTAAGGTTTTCCTTGTTCATTTACTCGTAGCGTTTTATTTATTATTATTATTATTATTTTAGTGCTGGTTTGGAGAAGCAGACTCTAGCAATTGGCCGAGCTCATTTTACTATAGTTTATTTTTTACGGCTGATTTGGAGAAGCATTTCCTTCTTCCTTTTTTTTTTTTTTTATAGGGCTAGCCTTGAGAAGCAAGCTCAATTAGGCTCGCACAAGCGAGTCCCAACCGAGTGTTTGCCTTTTTTTTCCTCCCTTCTAATAATCTATTTTTATATTTTTTATCATGAAATTAGGTGTGAAAATATAAAAAAGATTGTTTTTTTTTAGTTTTACGGTAATAGAATATATATGATATTTTTTAAAATATTAGTTTAAACATATATATCTAACTATAGTATTTTTATTGTTTAAAATTTATGTCTTCAATTGTTTGTTTCTTATTAAAATTCTTATCGAAATAATTTTTAAATTTTATATAATTTTATCTGTCAATAAATTTAATTTTTTATATATGGATTTTTAAATGAGAGTAGCGTAATTGCATATGTAAATTCGATGAGAGAGAGAGAACTAAAAATGTGTTTTAGATAATTTTACTTAATTTTTTTTAAAAAAATAATAATCAGTTAAAAAATTAATTTGACTCTTTTTTAAAAAAAAATTAATATATATACCAACCAAGCACAACCACTGCTCTTTTTTCTTCCGATAATTTATTGTATATTTTTAAAAGTCCGGCCACCAATCTCATAATAGAACAAAAAAAAGTTGGTTATTTATTTTAAATCTTGATGTATTTTAGGATTTGATTACCAAGAAGCAAAACGAAACTCGTAAAAAAATATACATATTGTCATAGCATAACTGGATCTCAAGAAAAAGATGTACAAGTTAAGTGGTCATATACAATTGGTTCCTTCACCAGGAAAGCAAACATATATATTAATAATCCCTTTAATGTCCCCGAACTAATAGTAATTACGTCTTTGACATTGATGTTAACAAAAAAATCTGATTATTTTATTCTTTTTTTAAAAAAAATTTCTTCAATTATTTTTTTCTTATTAAATTTCTTATTAAATTAATTTTTTTTAATTTTTGATATAATTTTATTGGTTAATAAATTTGGCTTTTAAATATATGAATTTTGGAATAAAATTTTAGAGCGTCAATATTTTATTTCTTAAAATATATTATTATAATTTATACAATAAATTTATTTAATATTTTTAAATGAGTATTTTACTTATATATATATATATATATATATATATATAGAGAGAGAGAGAGAGAGAGAGAGAGAGAGAGAGATAAAAGTATGTTTTAGATAGTTTGATTCTTTTTTTTTTTTAATAATAATGAGTTCAAAAAATTCATAAATTTTATTTTTTTTCTATATATATTTATTCAGAATTTATCGAACCAATTTTGTTGTCATTTTTATTTTAATCTATTAACTTTAATATATTTGTACAATGTATATGATTTTTTTCTATTTATTATTATCATTAGTTTCGTTAGAAATTAACTTTATATACATTCAATTTATTATCATTGATTTTGTATTTTTTTTTATTGTTGTGTGTATTAAAATAATTTTTAAAGTTTTAGATGTGTTTATTAACTTTATTTCGGTCATTTAGAGGTGTTTGGGAAAAAAAATGATGCTGGAATTCAATTTCTAGGCGTCTAAAACTTGATCCCCGACTTTCTCGTGAAGATTCCGACAACCTCGATTAGCAAGAAGTTGCAGCATCTTTTTTTTTTTTTCAGCAACCCGAGCTCGACGCGCGGGCCTAACTCGCGGGCTCGGTCTGTTTTTGTTTCTTTTCTTTTCTTTTTTTTTCTTTTTTTCCCCTTCCGTTTCGGCTTAGGAATAATCTATTTATTTTGGTCCCTTCATTCCTTTTTTTTATTTTGGTCATTAATATTTTCTGATCTTTGATTTTTATCCGTATCGAAATATTAAAATTTTATTATATGTGATTTTGATCCTTATAATCAAATTTTTTTAACTTTTAGTAAAAATTTATGTTCTTCTTTTTTTTTCTATTTTTTAATATTTTTTATTGTAGTTATTAAAATTTTCTCATATTTAATTTTATCCTTACTATACTAAAACTAAATAAAGTTTACTATCCTAAGGTTTTTTTTTTTGTACTGAAATTTTCTTTCTATTCTAATTTTTGTTTTGTTATTTTTTCTTTCTTTTCGTCATTAAATTTAGTAGAATTTTTTTTTCTAGTCTTTTTTTTTAATTGTTTTCCTACAAGGAACTATTTTTTACTTTTAATAAAACTTTTTGTTATAATTTGGTTCTTGTTTTATGATCTTTCGTTTATTTTGATCATGAAACTTTTATTATATTTAATTATTATTCATTTTACATTAAAATTAAATAAATTTTGACTATGCGAAGTTTTTTTTTTATTTTTAGTGAAAAAATTTATGTTTTGATTCTTATTTTATTAATTTTTTTTTATTTTAGTCATTAAAATTCTATAATGTTTACTTTTATTCTTGCCTTATGCATTTTTGTATGCTTTTAGTGAAAGTTTTATTTATTTATTTTTATCCTTTTTATAATCTTTACTTTGTTTTAATCATTTAATTTTTATCGTGTGTAATTTTATCTCTATTTTCTTTGCCAAATTCTTGATTTGATAGAGCTTTTTTGTCTTTTTGTTTTGAGTGGTCTCCCTGTCTTATTAACAAATTACGGATGAATAATAAATGGTAAAAATTAATCATAGAAAATTCAAAAAACTACCACGTTATTATTTTAATTATCAGCTATTAATAAAATACATGTTTATATCAAATAATATTTAATTAGCAACATTATATTACTCAATCTGTGCGTACTTTTTATTTAGCTAACCTTGTAGCAAATTATGAAATATATGTTTTAGTTTTTTTTAAAATTATTTTCGCATGATATTTTCAAATAATGATTTGTAAATGTTTAATTTTATACTAATAAATGCATAAGAATGTTATATAATTCACTTCGTGGCAATGCACTAGATATATGCTAGTAAAAATACTAAAAGAAAACGATTGTTTTCCTCCGATTTTCGAGCACACATTTACACCGTGGGCTTGTGGTGGGTTTAGACTCACCGGCATCGTACATTTTTACTGTTTGGCTAAAACGTTTTACTTTGGTCCTTCCTTTCGGGTAATTTTGTTTTAATCTCAAACTTCATTTATATTTTATTCCGGTCTTTGGATGCTCGGAATGGAGAGGAAAGAAAGAGACGATAAGGCCCATTTTGACCACATTGAGTGTCAAAATTACCTTCAATTTATTCATCTTGAAGAGAAAAATTTATTTGTAGTGATCACAAACTATAAAATTGTTAAAAGAGGTAGATTAAAATCCTAAAAAAATTTGAGGTTTTTTATATTGATTCAGATTTTTATATGTTTTGTGTGTATTAAAATGAGTTTTGAGATTCTAAAAGAGCTTATGAACTTTCTTTTTGTGATTTTGAAATATTTTTTTTGCCACAAAGACATTGAATTTGTGTTGGAAAGGTCAACAACTCGTAAAAACTTATTTTTCGATGAAGTTTTCGACCAATTAGAATTGGCTGAAAATTACAAACGGACAGACACGTCATTTTTTACACACGGAGCGGATGATGTGTCATTCGTTTTTTTTTTTATTATTCTCATATGCGCAGTTTTGGAAGCAAGCCCAAAAGCGCAAGCCTATGCCTTAGTTGTTTTATTTTTTTGGCTTTTTTATAATTATTTTAATATTTTTATTAAAAAATTTTAAGCAAAAATTATCAAAGATCTAACATTATTTTTTGTGTTAGTCTTGCGATAATAAAATATATATGCTATCTTTTCATATTTTATTGATATATTTG